GTAATGACAGAAATCCAAAAACTAATAAAGCTTCCACTTTTATTGTGGAAGAAAGCAGGTGTTCTCCTTTTTAATATGCATGCAATATCTTAATGTACAGAGAGAAGGGTTTAGGAATAAATTGAAGGCATAAGGGGAAGAAGGACTCTCTGATGATCATGTGGGCAAATGTTGTCAGGAGGGCTCCTCCAGGATACAATGCAGAATTTCAGGGTAGAGCAATTCACATTCACCATTCATATCAGGACTGTTTTCTTACCACAGAGGTTCCTGATGTGACTGTGTTTCCCAAAACACCTGTCATGCTGGGTAAGCCCAACACACTCATCTGTCTTGTGGACAACATCTTTCCTCCTGTGATCAACATCACATGGTTGAGCAATGGGCACTTGGTCACAGAAGGTGTCTCTGAGACCAGCTTTCTCTCCAAGAGTGATCATTCCTTCCTCAAGATTGCTTACCTCACCTTCCTCCCTTCTGATGATGATGTTTATGACTGCCAAGTGGAGCACTGGGGCCTGGACAAACCATTTCTGAAACACTGGGGTATGTATAAATTCCACTCCTTTTGGTGCCTTCTTGTTCTCTGTCAAGTCCAGAGCATCCTTCCTTTTGACTCCTAATGCCCCAAACTTGGTTTTCCCTCTTAAGGATTTCTAATGGTAGACTTCATTCTCCTCCCTTAGCCTAGTACTCCAAGTCTAGAGAATCAATCCCATCTCACACTTGTACATGGACATACTCTGTATTCTGACCTCAACAACTTCACTTTCACAGAACCTGAGATTCCAACTCCTATGTCAGAGCTGACAGAGACTGTGGTCTGTGCCCTGGGGTTGGCCGTGGGCCTCGTGGGCATCATTGTGGGGACAATCTTCATCTTTCAAGGCCTTCGCTCAGGTGGTACCCGCAGACAACCAGAGTCCTTGTGAGTCATACCTACAAGGGAAGGTAAGGTTTCTTATTTGGCAGAGCTGAAGCCTCCTTACAGGGGGAAGGAAAGGAAGTAGAGATTATTGACACAGATGTGGTTGAATCGTTGTAGAACTATGGAGTAGCATGATGATAGTACAGGAGCCCTTAGAGTCCATTGATCTTGTGTGTTTTTTGCAGGTACACTGCCCATCTCTAGGAGCAGAAGAATAGACGTGCAACATGATCTAGCCTATTTTTAGCCTAGTGCATCGTATTCTTTCTCTTCTTCAAATGTCCCTCCTTTCACCTCTTCTCTGGGACCTAAGGTGCTGTATACCCTCAGAGCTCAGATACCCTTGGAATTCTCCTTCTAATCTCCTTTCTTATTCTTTTTTCAAATGTTACCTATGATAGAATCCCTGGAATAATTCACCCATCTTCTGAATCCCTTAGTGGTCCTGTTTCAATATCTCCATGGAAACAATAAATTTCCTTTTATATGGTCTTTACTGATTTTTTTTCTGTCTTTTATCTATGGGCTCACTGGGACCATGGCTAAGAATGAGAGATCCTTCTGTTTCAGGCCCTATAATCTTATTTCTAAGATCAATGTTTCATGCCCAGCAACACTGAAACAACCAAAAATATCCTCATAAAATTCAGGTTAAAATGTCTTTCTTCCTACTGTTTTTTTCCCTTGGCCACTGCTACCTGTCTCCAATTCAGCACCAAGGTATATATGCCTTTTTTGCCCTTGGTATAGACTCAAGAGACATTTGGCTCTTGAAAATTGTTTAGGCATATTACCTCAGCCTCTCCACTCTTCGATTACTGATTCCATATTATGGAACTGTTACAAAATCTATGAGGATATTCTGTCCATGCCACCTGTATCAGTGAGCTTAAAACATAACTGGGAAAAATACAAAACATTAACACAATACTTTATACACCACCATTTGATGCAAAGAAAACTGAATCTAAATTCAGGACTCAGAACTTTATAGCTAGTATTCCAAACCTTATGACACTAAGTAAAATGTTATAAGTGTCATAATCTAACATTTCTGAACCTTACTTTTTTTTCATCTATAATGTGGGAATGACAGCACTTTTCTTGCAAAGTTATTGAAAGAATTCAAATATTCTTGGTATATAGGTAGCATCTTACAAATAAAATACAAATTCATAAGGAAGCACAGGTAATTATATCCATTATTATTGTATTAAAAAGAATGTATCACATTATAGAAAAAGTACTTTTGTTTTTCTCAGCCCTTTAATGATTTAGAGGATTCAAATGTGCAGTGTAAGTTTTACATTTTCTTTCACTTACAGAAGCTAGAGAGAAATAAGAACTCAAAAAATTGATGGGGTCTCATGAAAACAGAAGGGAGAAGAGTAAAGGAAGGAAATTGAGAGGGAGAGTGGAGGGATGGGAAAGGGGAAGAACTGCAGAATGAAATTTACCAAACTATGCTATGTGTATGTATGAAGATATCACAATGAATTCTACTTTTATGTATATCCCATAATTCACTACTAAAAATAAATTAATATAAGAAAGACCAATTGAGTAGACAAAGGGGGTCAAGAGAGGGAGGAGAGGTGAATGGGATAGTACTAGGGATTGAAATGGAGCAAATTATATTATGTGCATTGATGAATATGTCAAAATGAAGCCCACAACTATAATGTATTAATAAAAATATCTTAATTATTTGAGCTCTTCAAGTTATTTCATATTGCACACATAAAGTATGATTTTATTAATATTTAATATCATAGTATTTAAATTTTATATAATTGAAAAATCACATAAAATATTTCAGATTTATACTTGCTACATACAAATCAAGTACTTGAGTAATTAAATTTTGAATTACAAATAAAGCATTTCTACACAATGTGACTGTTATGGTTTGGATGTGAAATGTCCCCCAAAAGCTCATGTGTGAGACAACACAAGAAGGTTCAGAGCAAAAAGATTGGGTTGTAGAGTCTTAACCCAATCAGTGAATTAATTCCCTGATAGGTATTAACTGAGTGGTAACTGAAGGGGGCCAGGGTGTGGCTGGAGGAGATGGGAGCTGGGATCGTGGCTTTGGGATATATATTTGTATCTGGCATGTGGAGACCACTCTCTCTGCTTTCTGATCATCATGTGAGCTGCTCCCTCTGCCCCACCCTTCCACCATGATGTTCAGCCTGACGTTGAGCTCTGAGAAATGGAGCTGGCTGTATGAGGACATGAGAACTCTGAAACCATGAGCCCTCAAATAACCTCTTCCTCCCCTACAATTGATTTGGTAGGGTCCTTTAGTCACAGTGGTGATAAAGCTGACTAAAACAGTGGCATTTGGTAAATAGTTGATATATGCTAACAATCGGTGCTATTGTTATTTTTTTGAGCCCATCACAAATTCCATGATAAATGAAAACCCAGAGATGCAGCCAACAAAATCCAGAATGTGGAAAGTTCTAATAGATAAATAGCTTAGTTTCTTTAGCAAATAATTTGCAAAAAAGAAATAGAGAAAAGAGAAACTAAACATTTGAAGAAAAAAAAAACAGAAGAAACACATCAACCAAATGCTGGACTGTTTGGGTTTATATTCAAACAACTTAATAAATTCTTAAGAGGCAGTCAGAAAAATTGACACTGACTCTATTCAGGAATTATTTATTTAATTTTAGTTATGACAATGGCATTGCTGTTATGTTTCTAAAAAGTCATTGTATCTCAGATTATCTTCAAATTAAATCAATATGAATGTAAGATTAAAATTTCCCATGAATTGATCATTGTTAAAAGCCAAACTGTTGATAAATAGTACTCTTCTCCCAGCTCGCATATATAGTTGAAAAATAAAAAGATTGAGAAAGAAAGTATTCCAGGAAAGCCAAAAAAATCATAGGCAGAGAATTCTATTCAAAATTCTCTTAACTAAAAACTAAGTAGACTATAGGAATCTCTCATAAATGTAACCCTAAGTATGTATGCAACAGTGAATAATAGCAAAGGAAAGGGAAGTAAAACTTTACTACCAAATAAACTGAGCCTAAAACATTGTTTATATATTCACTAATTCATGAGTAATGCAAAAATTGTCATTGAGTATCAACTTTGTAATATATACCATACTACATTCTGTTTTAAAATAATGTAAAAACAAATGCATTCATTATCATAACGTAACTTAAATATTTGCTATCTTAACAGAACATATATTCCATGTACATCTATTATACATATGTTTATTTCACAAACATATTATTACAAAGTGAAGAATTTATAAAGAAAAAATAACATGAGAAAGTATTATTTAGGAAACAGGTGTAACTTGGTGGAATTTAGAAGAGGTGTGGTAGTCGGTTTTCTGTCACTATAGCAAATACCTGAGACATATCAAATTATAAAGGAAAAAAGGTTTGTTTGGGTCCATTGTTTTGGAGGTTAGCAAACTTATTTAGAAATAATATTGTTGATATTTTGATTAAATTATTAATTCAAGATTATACTGCCTGATAAAATCTGGGCAAAGTAGTTTCTATGAAACTGTCACTGGAAGATAGGGAAGACTTTGACCATTGCATTTAAAAAGAATCTTTCAGCTAGAGGAAAGAGATTGAGGGGAAAGGGGATAAGGGAAGAAAAATGGAATAAAATAAATCTAACCTAACTTTACTATGTACATATATGAATATACACAGTGAACCTCAGCATAATAAGGTACTAATTTAAAAAACTATAAAAGCAGGAAGATCAGTAGATTAGAGGGAAGGAAACAGAGAGAAAGGAGAGGAAGAAAGAGGGAAGTGGCAGGGTGGGAGGGTGGGGAGCTTAATTAGAGCAAATTATATTCCATGCTTTTATAACGAAGTCAAAATGATCCTAATGTTATGTATAACTAAAAAGAATCAATAAAAAAATCTTTCAGAATGTGTTTGATGTGACAATGTTGAACTGTAAGAATTCCCTAGAATACAATCCCCTTCTGTTCCCCTTTTGTTTCAACTAGAACAAATAGATCTCAGTGCCTCTCTAAGCTCTGAGTTTGACTCAACTTTCAGCTCTTCTTCCTTCCTTTGGAAAGTCAAAAGCAAAGAGCCACCCATAGAGACTGAGGACTCTCTGAACAACCCTGTACGTTTTTCCCATTTCCCCAAGAATGCCACTCCTTTTTGATCCCTGTAGGTAGCAACAATCGCTCTGAGGAAGATGACAAAACTTCTGACTCCACTCAACATATTTCTCTGGACAGATTCAGACCATGATCTTGGAGAGTAGAACCCCAAGTGTTAGTGTCTGTCTACACATTCACTAGGTGATGGATCTCTGCTCTGACCTCACCCAGGGGAAGGAAGGCCTTGCTAAAGGTTCCTCAGGCACAGTGTGTCAGTGAAGGAGAAGGCCTATCTGTTCCTCAGACATGACCTTCCATAACCTCAAAGATAAACTTCCTGAAATCTAAATGACAAAACCTAGAGACTGAGATGGAGACCAGCTTCCAAGGCTGCAACCACATGGAGGAGGTCACAGGGTATAGTGACTTCCCCAATAACCAGGTAGAGGACATAATCAGGAATAAAGGTCATAATGTCCACAGATTAAAGGAGTTCTAGCTTCTAATAATTTCAGCTCAGCAGGGGCATCAGGTAAACAGGAAAGAGACAATGAATGGATTGCATATGACTCAGCCCCTCTAAGAAGAAACCCTAGAACCAGAAGGAGCTCTGTCATTTGTTTTGTGGGTTCCACTAGAAACACAGTAAGGGGGCTCTGGCAGCTAGGGTGCTCCACGGGGCTGATACAGACATCTCTACACTGGTAGGTCATTTCTAACATCACAAGGATCTGGAAAATCCAGTCCCTGTTCCTAATTAAGGGGGAGATGGACACAATCCTGATTGTCTACATCCTGTATACAAGATGTTGTTTGTAAAGTTGCATTACTTTGTTCAGTTTTGGTCAACAGAATTTTTCCTAAAATTGTAAAATTTTGGTAGACATTCTAGAAATATGCAATAGAGACAGACACACAGAGAGAACAGAGATAAGATGTGCAGAGAAGAGAAATGTGGATAATAGAGATGCAAAATTAAAATAGAGGAAAAACAGTTGCAGATAGTGACAAAAGTGTAGAGAAAAACAGGTAGTGACACAGTGAAAGAGACAAATGAAAAGGAACACACATAAAGAAATACCCAAGGACAAAGAAACACACAGGGAAAGCAAGATGCACAGACAGAGATATAACAGAATGAGAAAAGAGATATAGATCTTAATTGCTTCTAAAATCAACTTGACCATGGTTTTCTTGTAACAAGAACAAAATGAGTTTAAATTGGATTTCTTGTCACGGAAACTACAAATAGTACTTTTATGGCTGGCTAGTTTCTCCAAAATAAAATTAGTCTTGCTCAGATGACTTGCCAGGATATACTTAAAACATCAGTGACCAGAGGTCACTATATCTGCCCCCCAAAATTCTTACAATACTCACCAACTGGAAGAGACTGAGACAGTGTAAGGCCAATGTACTGTACTGTAACAGTTTATGGTTCTTAAACCATGAAGGAAGTGACAGCTGATTTCCTACCTCCTCTGCCTACCCTTACCCAGCATCCATGATGCTTTTAGACTTCTTTACAGGAACAAGCCCTCCTCTGGCACATGTTGGTAGGGACACCACAAACCATATTCCTTTCATTCCACCTGCTTTCCACTCTCTGCTCAGTTACGGAGATTGAGGATACAGATAACTCAGAATCATGTTTAATTATTGGGGGGAAAAAAACTCTTCAACCAGGCAGATGGTTTCAATGCATCTATTGAGCAGTCTTTGGTGGAACTACAGAAATAGAGGAATCCCTGGAGGTCTGAGTAGATACTACTGGCAGTGCACAGGCAGAGGCTCCAGGGTCAATACAGGAAGCAGAGTCACAGAAGATCATTGGGGAGGGGGTCACAGGAGGTGAGCTTGCATTTGCACTAAAGCCACTATAGGACTCTGATATCCGAAGGGGTCTGACAGGCTGCCTCTGGCTGGGAACTCTGAGCAGGGACAGGCCGGCATTGCAGAAGAGTGAGTGCCAATCCCAGTCAAAGTGCATTCGGAACTCAGTGCAGGAGCCCTGTGGATGAAAGGGATGGAGACAGTGATCAGTACAGGGTGCCCTGAGGGATACCTACACTCCTCCCTTCTCCTGGATCCCCTATTGCATCAGACATAAAAAGCTGAGGTCCAGGCCACATTGCTATTACCTCAGCCGATATCTGTGTAAAGTGAAATCACCTAAAGAGGACACAGAACTTCATTTTAACATAGATGTGTAGGAGGTGAGGAAATAGTCACTGCCCTTCTGGGAAATATGAAGGGTTTGTTCTTTTTAGTAACTTGGAGGATGACTCACCTTTCCACCACTAGTAGGCTCTTTCAGGCACTGGCAATTGTACAGAGTAGCCACCAATACAAGGCACTAAGTCTGCATTGCCTTGGTGTCTGACACCCAAGACATGGCTCTAGCTTCCAATTTCATGGAAAGATGCCACCAAAGTTATGGCCAAATTCTGGGAACAACCTCCAGAGCTTACTATAGAAACTGACTGCCTTCTCCCCTCATTCTTGATCCGAACACTCTTGATAATCACAGCAAGAAGCACCAGGAACTGAGACTGTTGTGTCAAGTACCCCAACCTCACCTCTCTTATACATATGCTTCTGCCCCCCAATGAATAAAGGCTGAATTACCTGTAGCTGGCGGACCACGAATTCCTACAAAAAAGAAGTTACAGAGAAAGGTCTCATTACATTAACAGTGGCTCTCTCACATACCCCACAGCAAAATAAGATATGCAATTTAGCTGGAGTTATATTCTCTCCCCACTCGTGTTCTACAAGGCCCTAAGCACCCCAAACTAAAACTTCCTAAAGTGAATGAAACTGTCACTAGATGGGAGGGAAAACAAGGCTCTAACTCTCTTAATGGAAGAAGTTTCTAGAAAAGAAACCACTGAGGCACTGATGAACAGTAAAGAAGTCCTAAAATTAACTCCACTAGTGAACTGTGTGGCAAGGCTCTTTCAGCCAGCAAAATCAAATTCCAACATCTCTCCCTGGGTTTTTCCATCTCCTCCTGCCTCCATCCCAACCTCCTTCCTTCAGGTCAGGAGGAAAAACCTCCTCTAGACGCAGAGCCTCTGTTAACAGAGGGTCTCAAGTACAGCCTGTTTCCTATTTACCCCAGAGTGCCTCACCTTTCTGACTCCTGCGACGGATGAGAAGGCCCAAGCCAAAGAAGATCAGCCCCAGCACAAATCCCCCAATGCCACTCAACATCTTGCTCTTTGAAGATTCAGACTGTGCCCCTGGGGAATAGAGTCTGAGTGTCAACATTTGTCTTCACACCCCCAGGGTCCCTGGCTGAGGGCCTGAAGTCCAGCCTAAGTTACAAGGGGTGGAAGTGCCAGGGAACCTAGGTTCTCCATTTTGGGGAGGGAAGGGCCAGTTAACAGATCTATGGACAGAGTTGGTGGGCAAGGGAGAGGGGTGAGTGGAGGCCTGTTTCACAGGGACACATCCATAACCTTAGGCCCAAGACCCAAGACCCCAATCACAGCCATAATAGCCAATCCCTCTGAGCTATCAGTTCTGGGTTCCAAGGCCACAGTGTACACAGTGATCTCCCTGCTATCTGGAGAAACAATTAGGTTAGGATTCTTCTGGTACCCTTGCTATAGGACAAAAGATGTTAGTTTCCTATGAAGGTCTGGACCAGAAAGAGCTCTGCCCTCTGTCATGTGGGACCCATGGTGAGAGAAAACAAGTCGTCTCTTACTCCACTCCATTGTGATGGGGCTCTGGAGGCTGGGATGCTCCACGTGGCAAGTGTAGACATCTCCACGCTGTGGAGTAACTTCCAGCATCACCAGGATCTGGAAGGTCCAGTCCCCATTCCTAATAAGGGGAGTGGATACAACACCAGCTGTCTCCTCCTGGTTATTTTGGAACCACCGAACTTTGATCTGGCTTGGATAGAAATCCGTCACTGAACACACCAGCAGGTTGTGGTGATTTAGAGCCTCTGTCCTGGATGGGGAAATGGTCACCTTTGGCTCCACTGGGAGTAACAGACAAGAAAAGAGAGAATGGGTGAGATGTGAGACCACATGGCGAGTCCTCTAAGAGTCACTCCTTGGTATCAGAGTGGGAATCCCTGGATTCCAGGTTTTAGATTAAGTTCATTCAACAAACATAAACTTGACAATTGTTGGGAATGTAAAGTTAAACAGCAATCCATGGTCCCTGCTTTCATAAAACTCCCAATCTAATAATAGAAACCAAAAAAGTGAACACAACTTCCAAAATTTTTGAAGGAAAAGTAGGGGAGCCTTGAAACAAATAACATCAACAAAGCACCCCATACCTTGATTTCTTTATCTTCTCAGATTGCTACTCATGGACAAATATGGCACACTTTCCCTGCTGATTTTATATATCTTATCCTTTACCACTCAAGTCATTTGATTGTATTTCCCTTATTCCTTTACTATGAAACTATAGTAAATATTTATAATTTTTTAATTTAAGGATATGCTCTGTTATCTCATTTTTCTTTTTTCTCTGATTTTCTTTTAACACTCAAGTGCATTTAACTACTAGCTACCTGTCCTACTCCATCCCCTTCCTATGAAGAATCACTTCCTTGTTCTGAAATCACAAATTATCACCTATGTTCTCTACAGGAAATATTCTGAGATTCTTGCAGAAACTGACCTGGATTAAGGAGAAATGGAGGTTGAACATATAAATACAACCCAGAGCTTCCAAGTTTGGCAAGTTGTCACAAACCTGATTAAATTGACACTCATGAGTATGTTTTCAGTTTGGATTTTAACCCTGGACTACTTCTTCCTGGACTCAGACTGAAATCCTGGCCAATTATGTGGATTTACAAAATCCATTCATATTAAACAGATTAGAAGTAAAAACAGAGGGCACAAATTCATGAGACGGATGTTAGAACGTTTTATAAAACAGGAAAAACATAAGTAATTGGTGGGATTAGGATGCGGGTTAGAAGGAGAAGAGGACAATTAAATTAAAAGTATTGTGAGTATGCATAAATAAACTGGGATTAGACTAAGGATTGGTGAATTAGTGAATTCTCAATCCTACCAACATTAAAAACAACAGGAATAGATTCATACTAGTGCTTCCAGTCATTACCAGTTTTGATGACACTTTACCCCCATTAGATTTTATATCCATGTTGAAAATGACTGCTGTGTAATTTTGAGAGGCTTCAAGATTCCATGAGTAATTTATGAGCTATTTACCTAAAGGTTTTATTATGTATCACTATTAGTATATATAAATTGGTATTGTTAATCCCTAACACACAAGGTGGCTGTGAGATCAAAAGACACAATAGATGTGCTTGAGATGGTAATTTTCTAGAAACAGGTATTCTTCAAATGGATAAAATTAGTTTTCAGAATGTCTACTCCTAAAAATGATGGTGATGCTGGACAGCAGAAATGAAGAAGCCCAGGCCAAAAGCAATCTAAAATAATTTTTATCCAATTATTTAATGATTTCAATTTATTCTAATGATTCAGTGCTTTCCATTATGCCATTTGTTGAGCTTTTCTAAGAAATGAAAACTCTGCCTTACATCAAGTGTTGTTTTCAGGACCGGGATGTAGCTCAGTGGAAAAGCTCTTGCCCCACCTGCCCAGAACCCCGGGTTCAATCCCTAGTTCCAAAAGTAAAAAGCCAAAACAAAAAAAGACAACCCCAACCTAGTATTGTTTTCGGCAAACAATTTTTCCTTAGACTTGTATTTGTAAATTCTAAATTAATATCAAGTCAATAAGAGTTTACTTCAAAGAGTTAAGCAAAATAATAAATAATTTGTTTTGAAGTTGTTATTTACCTGTTTTCTCTTGAGCCTAAATGAATGCGTATCTGAGTACATATATTTATTAACTTAACAAAGATTTTTGAGCTCACAGTATACCAGTAATAATTTAGACAGGTACAAGGTAAGCATACAACAATCACAAGACAGTCTCTCTCCTCAAAGGGCTCTGGGACAAATAACTGTCATTTAAGAAAACTGACTTACCATGGATTTACAGCAAAAGTCAAAAGACATTATTTCATGACTATAATATATCCTGGGTGTGCAAGGTGTCCTGCACTCTCTACAAGAGCAGCCCTAACTCCACCAAGCCTGTTAAGCTTCTCAGGGGCCCAGTGGGTGACTCAGAGTAGGGCCTAAGAGGGTAACTCAGAGTAGGGCCAGAGAACAGCATGGAAGGGAGGGGACACTGGGCACAGGACAAAGGTATGAAACCAGAAGGAAGCTTGAAAAAGGCGCGGGACAGAACGCACAGAGAATGGAAAGAAGAGGAGCAGACAGCAGAGGAGGAGGCTGGCCACACAGGGAAACCGTGGCCGCCTTGCAGGGATCCAGGGCAGTCAGGATCCAGAGCAGTCAGTCCCCAGGGCAGTCAGTCCCCATCCCTCCGCTCCCTCCCGTGCTCCACGGGCCCCGCCCGGCCTTGCTGTCCACTAGATGGGTAGAGGTGGGGGAACTCTTGTCCCAGAGGCTCCCAATCCCTCCTGGCCCCAGGTTTCCGCTGCCCTCCGAATGTGGATACTACAAGGCCGCGAGTGTGGCGGCTGGCCTCACCTCGCCGCTGCAACGACGTGCGGAGCTCATTCTTGTAGTTGTGTCTGCACACTGTGTCCACTACGGCCCGCTTCCGCTCCAGGATGTCCTTCTGGCTGTTCCAGTACTCGGCGTCCGGCCGCCCCAGCTCGGTGACCGCGCGGAACTCCCCCACTTCGCTGTCGAAGCGCACGAACTCCTCCAGGTTGTAGACGTATCTGGATATTGACCGCACCCGCTCCGTCCCGTTGGTGAAGTAGCAATAGCTCTTGAACTGGAACACGAAATCCTCTGAGAGAAATCACCAGGTGGTCAGTCAGGTTTCACTCAGACCTCTGTAGACTGTGACCCAGCGAAGCTATCCTAGGTTCGAAGTGGGTTTGGTCGGATAAACCTAAAACCCCCACGCGACCCGCCTCAGATCAGAGCAGGAATCCCCCAAGCTGCTCTGCCCCAGCCTTAATGCGCACGCGCGTTAGACTCTGCCTAGAGTAGGACCAGAGGGAAAAGAGCCCCGTCTCTAAGAGGGAGCCCTGGGACCTGTGATCCTCTGCCTGAGCCTGAGAACCAAGGGGAGTGAGTTAAGTTGATTTCACGTTGATCTCTGCACTTATATCGCGGGCATTTCCATAAAGCTCCTAAGAACCCCGGAGACAGTTATCCACATAAATTTGAGAGTTAAAGGGAACAAAGAGAAAGACCTAGTAATTAAGCTTGCCCTGGTCCAGATGAGCATATTCTCTTGATCCCTGAGCAAAATACCTTCCTTCCTGTGCCTGGACTTACTCTCTGTTTTTGCTACTTGCACCCAACTGCAGTGTGAGGCTCACTAGCTCCTGAGTTAGAAAGGACCTATATCTCCCCAACCCTAGAAAGAAGCATTTATTCACGAAAAGAGCACAAGCTGTTGAATAAGGTAAATTATAGTCCAGTTAAACTGAGAATTAACTGCTTGGGCCGGTTACTAACAGAGTGTCCCTATCAAAAATAAAACTGTGAAAACAAAGTCATAATACCCTCACAAGGGTATTAAGAAGACTGAGAGAAAATTTATATAAATTACTCCCCTGTGTTTGAAATAAGTGGTTTCTCAAAATGTATTATATACTTCCCTTCTGTGCCTAATTCTCTCTTCTAAATTCAGTCCACCATCAACTCAAGTCTCTGAATTCCATTCAAGTTACTATTTGACCAAAAATCTGAGCAACTTAAAAGTTAAGACGCCCTGTTAGTTTACTCAAATGCTTAATTAAGAGTTTGCCTCCCTGAAATCTCCACTTGGAGGAATAAAGAGTCTTTTTCCTCTAACACTGAGAATACAAAGACCATTGCTGATCTACATTTCCCCAACCAGACAAGATCTTAGAGGACATTTGACAAGAGGGCACAGGACAAATCCTGCTGTTTCGTCCTTGATAAATTTATTTTTTTCAAAAATGGTTTCTTTTGTCCTATTCTTGGCAGTAAGTATAAACTTTGTCTTCTCCTTCTATCCTAATATTCCCAGGTTTGAGCCTGTGAGGTGGGTGTTATCCTCACTTCAACATTAGAAATGGAAATGAGAATGTAATATAACCCTCTTTTCCATAAAGATGACATCTATTATGAAAAACTGTTCTTAGATCATGACACTCACCCTTCCCTACATCCCAGGCCCCCAAGGATCCCTCAGAGCCTATTGCCCAGAATGGTAGCTTTGGAGAGCAGCTGCCCTGTACTTACGTGGAGAATCTCTACAGTTAGCCACTGGGCTGGTCAGCATCATCAGCATCACCATCATAGCAGCTGTACAAAAGCCTCTGAGGATCTGAAGAGCCATCTTGCCCAACATAACTGAAAACAAAGAAAAAAGTAATGGCAGTCAATGCAGCTTACACTTGCTCTACCCACTTCAGAGAATGAAAGACCTGTGAATGCTTCCATGCATATTAGGATTAACAAGTCCCTAGGAAAGGAACCAATCAGTACTGGAGCTGAAGTACCTCATCTATCTCTAGGTAGACAATTTTTATGAAGGCTCTCTATCTAATATCTACCCTGTGTCTTTATGAAATTGCTCTGGATTAACATTTAATGTGATGGTTTCCTCTCAATTATAGAAGATGCCCACGTACTTCTGAAGAGAGAAAGTATTAGAGGTTTAAAGAACCAAAAAAATGATTCAAGTATAAACACCTTTGTTATATTTATTTGAAACCTATCATTCTTATACTTTGGTGATTTAGTAGGGGAATATAAATGGGGATCATGTTTCAGGGTGCTGAAAGTTATTGTCACAGATATATTTATTTTTATTATGTTAGATAATCTGAGGAGCTTTACATTGTAGTGAGAAAAGCAGGGTTCTTAGAGGAAAAAATGGTTTTGAACTGCAATTCTACAGCTAATGTGCTTTATGAGAATCAACAGATTACTGAAGCTTTTCTTATCTCAGAATTCTCTTTGTAAAATGTGGATCATTTTTCATGAATTTTACATCTGGATCTTAGTACATACACATTTAAAAGTAATATAACTTGTTTAGTATTGCAAAATGTTCCTCAACTGTCATGTGTTACTGTTGAAAATATCAGATTAATATGTAGAACAAGAAAATAAGCAAAAAAAAATTTGACACTCAACCCTGCTGGCAAGTTTCTCATGCAAGAATCTATTGCACTCATGATTTTTCAGTGAAAATATTTGAAAAGTTAATTAAGCTAACTTTTTTCTAATAAATTCTTCAGCTGCCTAAGTCCTTCACAACCATGAAATAGATTCATCTCATGCCAGCAAAGATAAAACTCACAAATTCACAGCTTTCAGGCACAGTCACCCTTAGTTTTGAGGATACAAAGCAAAAAATGTAGAGAAGAATTTTCTAAGGTCGGATGGTGTTAATGATGGAGCAGATATTTTCTTACAGGTTGCAATGTGCAAGCCCTAAACACCAAATTCTGAATGGCAGAAGTATTGATGTGCTCTCTTAATAAATGTCTTATTTGTCAAGTTTCTCTTGCCCATATCTAGTTATAAATCAGGTAGAACAGGTATTCGCAAAAGTTCATGACAATCTAAACAAGACAATATCACTCCCTGCCCTCCCTCTCTTCCTGCCTATTTTCTTTATTTTACATTCTCTTTCTAAAACAAAGGGAAGGATCTAAAATCAGAACATAAGGAGTCTACCAGGCAAAAAGAGGTGGAAAAGAAACCACAATAAGTTTCCATTAGTGGCACAAGAAGGTACCAAGTTTTCCAACATTCTGTATAGGTGCATAGATGTAGAGCAAATGCGACTGGGAAGGTTGTCACTGGGCTCCCAACAGCAGCTGTGTGTTCAGGATCATGTGTGATGCATGTATGAGAAAGAACATCAATCTCAGACCTGGAATGGGGTTGGGAGAAAAGAATGGACAAAAAGGGACCTTGAAGATTCCCTCAGTGTCTTCAGCCCCCACCTCAGGGTCCCTCATACTGAGCAGAGGGCTCCATCCCATCCTCTACTTCTATCCTAAAGGAAAAAATTCTTCAAATTTATCCTGGGCCTGTAAAATGAAGGCTGCTTCAGAAGGGGGACTTCCCAGTCTCACAGGCCTCTTCAAAACAGACCTTTCACTAGCAACACAAGTGTCAACTCAGGATCCTTTTTCTGATTAGCTAAAATCTCATTAGAAGGCAGTGCTTTGGCCTTCTGCCAGCTGCTTCCCACAGCCCAGCCTTCTCGAGAGTTTTCTGTACTGCCCATGTCCCTGCTGCATTTCTCAGGGCAGCTGCTAGTGGTCTGACCTGGGAGGAAAGCTATTCAGATCCACATCTCATTTGATGGTGCCTCACCCAGATGACACAGCAGGAGCTCTGTGAAGACATGGAAGTTAGCATGAGGGCAGTGTGCACCCCATGTGGGTGTATGGGATACAGAAACTGTCGTTAATATGGACAAAGATAACAGGGGACTTCCTTAGTTTCATCAGAGTAGAAGATGAAAGTTATAGACGCCTTCCAGGAAACTCAAGAAGAAATCATCTACTCCCTCAGCATCCTTTGGAATCTGTGCTTGTTCAGTAGGATTAAATGTGAATCTAAAAACCATTTTGTCACCAGAAAGGCCATTCAGGACTCTATTCTGTATTCATTTTGAAAACAAGAAATGCATCACCGGCCGGGTGCAGTGGCACAGGTCTGTAATCCCAGTGGTTTAGGAGACTGAGGCAGGAAGATTGCAAGTTCAAAGCCAGCCTCAGCAACAGCAAGGTGCTAAGCAACTTAGTGAGACCCTGTCTCTAAATAAAATCCAGAAAGGTACTGGGTATGTGGCTTAGTGGATCAATCACTCACTTAGTGAGTGCCCCTGAGTTCAATCCCCGGTACCCGCCCCCCCACAAAAAGAAGAAGAAAAAGAAAAAGAAATGCATCTCCTGAGGATTCTGTGGTCTCCTCAGGGTCAATAATAATATATTAAAATTTTATATATAATATATAACTAAATATTATAAATGTATATTATTGAATATATTGTTAAACTTTGCATAAATTAAATGTGCAATAATATAGAATTAAATACTAAATATATAAATATATGATACAGTCTCATATTATATATAATAAAATATATATTAGTGTGATAGAATAGTAATATAACAGAATAAAATAATAGAATATTATTTGTTTTAATTAAAATCTATCAAGCATTTACCCATAAATTCTTCTAAATCTTTTAGAAGTTTTTTGCATGTTTCCCTTATATCAACTCTTGGATAATGAGTTACACTAATTTTCCTATTGCACATATAAAGCATGTCTTTTATCTTTATACAAAGATTTTTCTTTAAAGTCACATTTTAGACACTGCAAAGAAAGAGTCACATTAGTAATGGAGTGACTAAGGAAAGGCCTTTCTGCTCTGTAAGACTTAACTTTTCCTATAGAAAGAATATATACCTAGTAGGACCTCCATTGTGAATACAGATATAATTTGTAAAAATCCCTGAAATCTTTGATAAGCTACATACACATTAGTTTTTAATAAAATGGTTGTGAGTTCATCATTTTTTAACATCATTACAAAGCAAAAATTCTTCCTGTTATTCTCTTCTCTGCTCAGAGATGCCTTTATGGTCTTAAAGGTCTACCTTTTATCTCATCATTACAGAGGGAAAGAGAAATGTGGAGGTATATTTGATGTGTTCAACCATGAATCCACTTCATTTTCCCACTCTGAATTGCCACCTTCATTTCCTGCTCAGAATTACCATTTCAAATATTTTTCAGATCTCAGAACCTGGTTCTCCTTTCTGATGGCTGGTAATATATAAATTTGAGTGTAAAACAGCAATTTAATACAAACTGATAAAAGGAAGAAAGTGAATGAACGAATGAAGCTTTGTGGGTTATGTGGGCTATAATGGCAGAATCCGGGATCGTATTTCATCTCTCTTGATTTGGAGAAAGAGGGAAGCTTCCCATTGCAGCTTCTGCCAATTGCCTACAAGCCCACCCTGTGCCAAGTGTATGAGTGGCCTGCATTTCTCACCCTCATGATAGTGGGTCCCCTGGTGTCTGACACATCTATGTGGTTTTTTGTTTTTTTTTTAAATTTATTTATTTATTTATTTATTTTTAGTTTTCGGCCGACACAACATCTTTGTTGGTATGTGGTGCTGAGGATCGAACCCGGGCCGCACGCATGCCAGGCGAGCGCACTACCGCTTGAGCCACATCCCCAGCCCTCTATGTGGTTTTTTTGCTGATAGTTCTGCCTACCTTCCCAAAAACACAAAATCCTAGTCAGTGGGTTCCATCACTAAACTGTATTCTTTGTATTTATGGTCATAAGCTTCAAAACTGAAAATACAGTACCTAGTTCCTACCTTCAAGAAGTTGGAGACAATGCAGATAAGGAGAGCAAATAAGAGAACAAACAAGAGTTTGCAACAGTCACTAAGGGGAATGTCAAATATTGCTGACTAAAGACAAAATGTGCATGTTGAAGGCTCAAGGAACACTCAAAAGTACACAATAAGAATGGTGCCACTGGTCCATTTTTTTTCTTTTGGAAAGGAATGGCAATGAAGTATTAAAAGATGACAAATCATTTATTGGATTAATTCATACATAATTTTTCAAGATGGGGAGGAGGAGTGCTTGATGGTATAGAAGTCATAACAGGGTTGAAAGACACATTATGGTTGGGCTTCTTAGGGAGGGTAATGACTCTAAGGAATGGAATAGTCAGTGAGAAGCTTAAATTATTTACACGAAAAATATTTAATATGAAATTTCAATATTTATTTTTTTCATTCCATTGTGATATGCAAACCCTTCAAATAAGCCTGAAAACTTCAGTAAAAGATGCTTCATGCCATAGACTTGTATTTGTAGTGCATCAGGATGGAGAAAAAAAGAAATTCAAAAAGAGAATGTGTTCCATAATCATGTATATGATGCAAGAGGTCAAGAATTCTAATATTAGAATGATTTTGCTTTCCTACAATAAAAGAACCCACTAAAAATGACTCATACTTTAAAGATATTATGTTTCATAATGGGAAGTACAGAAACAGTGTAGTCTTTAAGGCTGATTGACTCAGTACTTGTTCATATCAACATAGGACAATCATTTCTAACTCTTTTTTCTTCTGTCCAGAGCATTAGCTTCACCTTATAGTTTATTTCCTGTGTGGTCATAGGAATGTAATGATTATCCTTAGTTTGCCTAACCTGGGCCATTCTCTATACTCTGTGCTTCAAAGGCTAAACTGAGGAATGCATCCTATGGCTAGATTTTCGAACTGGCTTTAGTTGGATTGGCCAGTGGGAGGCACCATCGGTAGATCTGAAGGCTGGAAGATAGCAAGACCATGGTATTCCTGCTCCATTCATTTCCTGCTTTGGCAGTGACTGGTTGC